CTTCTTACGTTGAGTGGTTTGAGCAGGATCGTGATTAATCAGTATGTCAGTCACTTAAGGATTTTATATATCCGTATAGATTTTGCTGTTCTTGACATTAAAATTTATTTTAGTTAGCTATTTCAATAAAAACAAAAGACAAGAGACATAATACGAGGTCATTTATTTACATAAGAGTGTATAGTATATACCTTATTAAAATATAGATTAGCTTATATCAATTTTCGGGATTTAAATACTAGATACTTGAGAATCACCTGTAATAATATGTTTATAGTTTAGCACAAGAAGTGTGCAATACCAATTTGCAATGTCTATAAGTACCAATGATGCAGCACACAGGTAATATATACCAGGTGCGTCTTAAAAGAGGCTCACTCGTATAACTTTTTTATTTTTGTACATAACAAAACGCGATTTCGTATTAAAACTAAAAGAATTTCGGACTTTCATTGTCTTTATTTATTTTGCTTATACAGCGTTTGGAAGAAGTATCACCGTTGTCAAGTGTGAACTTGTGAGATTTGGTAAGTTAGTATATGATAAATTAGAATTGATTGACGTATTCAATTATTTTTTGTCACTTCCTTTTTCACCGGAAATGACTAAAACTTTTGATTTTTAAATGACACCATCGGTATTTTTTTACTTTATTTGATAGAAAATGACATTCTGAATAGAATGGCATATCATATGACAGCTTCTGACATTTTCGCTTAAAAACAAATCCTATTTTAAATTTCAACCCTAAAGTGCCATGGCTGCGTTAAAAACGCTAATTTTTAACCAAGGAGCCCTGGAAAAATAGATTTGATCGTCTAATGTTTCTGGTGTCTTGTCCTGGCCTGTTAAAAGATGCGATGACTCATTAGCATATTTGGAAAAAGCATTTTTTGCGAATAATTTGGTTACTTGATATTTCCAGTCAAATTGTCGTTATGAACCGCATGTTACAATTTCAAATAAACCATATGCGAAAATGTCAAAAGTTGACATATGATATGTCATTCTATTCAGAGTGTCATTTTCTATCGAATAAAGTAAAAAAAATACCGAGGGTGTCATTTAAAAATTAAAAATTATATTAATTTCCGGTGAAACAGGAAGTGATCAAAAACAACTGAATACGTCAATCAATCCTAATTTATGTCATATACTAACATACCAAATCTCCTTTTATTATGTGAAAAAATAAAAAAGTTACAGGGGGTGAGCCACTTTTGAGACGTACCCGGTATATACATGTAAATTATTTTTAATTGATAACAAGTACAAATATTTTTATGCACATTAGTGTAAAGTGGACAAATTTTAGATTAGATAAATTAAGCACTTACTGTTCTTATATTATTTTAAGTTATGATTTATTTTAATTTCCTTATATTTTCTAAAATATGGATCTTTACCGTAATCAGTAGTATACTTTTTATCACTACATGAGTATTGCGATGTTTACGCCTATAGGTGATTCGTATTTTCAGTTTACTTTATTACAATGATGAGGCTATAAATGAAAAGATAATCATATTTCAAAATCCTATTTTAATAATATTATAAACAAGGCAATAATTTAAATACAATACAATAATCCAATATAATCATAAAGGAATTATAGGGAAAGGATAATATGCAAAACTAATCACAAGCAGCTAACTATATAGTTTTGTTGGCTGTATAGTTAGTTGGTAGCTAAAAACTGTATAGTTTGGTTTATATCATAATTAAGGTGGCTTGGTTTGGTTATTTTATTTGAATTCATTTAATTTTTTTGCTTACATAAAAAAACAAGATGATAGTTTAAATACTCCAATCACTAAAAAAGCGACGAACAGCAAGAAAAGAATATTATACAAATCAGTCACAAACAGCCATCATTTACCAAACTAATTTTAAACTATTTTTAAACAACTATTACGTGTCATCTGTGGAAAATTTTACCTTTGGGAAACGAAAAAAGTAACAAAACAAATTTTATTAATAAAATCTTACCTCTGGGAAACAACAAATAGAAATTCTTTAACATCAGTGGTAGCAGAGGGATTAATATAATGTTGTATAGTCATTCTGAAACAAATCCGTTTTGATATTATTTGGTTCAACATTTAGTGATGCTTGGTCACTGCATATGGTGTTTGCTTGACGACAATTAACTATTCCTTTCTGGCTTGAAAATTTAATAAATTAAAGACTTAAATATTATCCCGTGTGTGTGCATTTACAGAACATTATATGAATTTACTGTATACAGAAGTCTCAATAGATCCCTTGTTTCTACTGACAAGGACATCTAGAAACGGCAGACAGAGAAGAGGATTCTCTTTCTCAATCGTGAATTTGATGGAATTATTTTGTGGATTGAGATGATTGAGAAAGAAATCCAATCTATCGGTTCCCTTCCAGATTATGATCGATTAAGTATCGTCAACATATCTGAGCCTGCTTTTAGGTTTGACGACTGTGCAGATCTAATGGCATGCATTTTAAATCATTTCACATACAGGGTGTTTAAAAAACATGTGCCATCTCTCGTTTGAAGATTTCTCGCGTAAAAAAATAAGATTTATTTTTCATATCAACATAGGCCCGATTCTGCTTTGATTCGTAGCTACAGGGTGTTAAAATCTTCCAAGTACTTCTAGCGTTTCGAATGAAATTTTGAGAGTAAAAGTTACTATAAATGCGCGGCGACATATTTTAAAGCTAAAAAAGTGTCGACGTATTCACCAGGGACGTGCATATGGGTTATCACTGAAATATTTTTCTAAAAAGGCATGTACGCCACTGACTTTATTTTCGTTACTTTGTTAGCGAAATAGTGTAAGCAGTTTAATGCCGATTAAAAGTTGTCTCTTGATACTTTGTCGATTTCGGCCTCCTTGATGAGATAAACGCAATTTTATTGATTTCCCTTGATCCAAGTCTAATAGCAACGTTTAAAAAATTTTAATACATTGACTTGCAAAAGTTTTAAATAAGCACTCATTGATTCCTCATCAAAAAATATGGAAAAAAGTTCTTATAAACATGGGTATGGAAATGCATAGTTTTAGAGTTACAGGATGTTAAAACTTTTTAAAATTAGGTTTTTTGTAATTATCTTAAGTACCATTATTTTTTTATTTGAACTTGCTGTAGGTTGGGCTAATAGTAATAATAACTAATAGTAATAATATTTAATAATAAATTAGTTGAAATATACAGGGTGTTTCAAAACAAATGCGAAAAACTTCAGGGGGCGATTCCTTGTTCAAAATAAAGGGTAGTTTGCTTCATAAACGTTGGGTCAAAAGTCAACCATTAGGGAGATATCGCGGTACAAAGATGGCAGAAAAATAATGTTTTTAATTTTTATCTTGAAAACGAAAAGAGGTAGACTAATAAAATTTTATGGAAGCATTACTGTTATGAAAACACACTTTCTGGTACTTTTTCACTTTTTTAAAATGAGTGGAAGGGGTTGAAACTACCCCTATCTATCATTCTTGTTAACGAAATTTAAAGAAAAATGTTATCAAACACATGTAAAAAATTAATTTGGATAGCTTAGTTTGTTTAGAAACTTTTTTCTCTTGTATTTTTTTGATAAAACTCACCGATTTGAAATTAAAAAATAAAATGTAAAGCATTACATGTCAGGACAAAAAACATATTCTGATGAAGAATCTAGTGCGCTGCTGTAATTTTTTTAGGAAAAAATCTAGTCGGCCGCTGTTACTTTTTAGGATGTTCCTAATATTATTTTATTTGACATTACTCTACTGCAATACGTTATTATCTAGATGATTATTATTATCGTTATGATCACTAGATTCTTAATCTAAAAATGTTCTTTGTCCTGGCATGTAATGCTTTACATTTTATTTTTTAATTTCAAATCGGTGAGTTTTATCAAAAGAACACAAGAGATAAAAAAGTTTCTAAACAAACTAAACTATCCAAATTAAAGCATTTGCATGTGTTTGATAAGATTTTTCTTTAAATTTCGTTAACAAGAATGATAGGGGTAGTTTATTTCAACCCCTTCCACTCATTTTAAAAAAGTAAAAAAATTACCAGAAAGTGTGTTTTCATAACAGTAATGCTTCCGTAAAATTTCATTAGTTTATCTCTTTTTGTTTTCAAGATAAAAAATAAAAACAATATTTTTCCGCCATCTTTGTACCGCGATATCTCCCTAATGGTTGACTTTTGACCCAACGTTTATAAAGCAAATTACCCTTTATTTTGAACAAGGAATCACCCCCTAAAGTTTTTCGCATTTGTTTTGAAACACCCTGTATAATTTATTAATTTTATTTTTATTTTAATTTTATTAATTGTCACTAATAAAATTGCGTTTATCTCATCAAGGAGGCCGAATTCGACAAAATATCAAGAGATATCTTTTAATTGGCATTAAACGGTCTATAAAAAGTTGATATCAAAGGAAAAAGTCAATGGCGCACATGTTTAATTTTTGAAAAATATTCCAGTGATAACCCATATGCACGTCCCTGATGAATCTGTCGACACATTTTTAGCATTAAAATATCTAACACTTATAGTAACCTTTACCTTCAAAATTTCATTCGAATCACTAAGAGTACTTGGAAGAAAATTATAATAAATCGAAAGATTATTAAGACTTTTAACACCCTGTTTTGATATAAAAAATAAATCTTATTTTTACGAGAGGAATCTCACCAAGAGAGATGGCAGATGTTTTTTGTAACACCCTTTATATATTAGAATTAGCTATCACTGATAGCTAGCGGAGAACCCATCGGTAAACCGTCATTTTGAGCATGAAACTTATCTTTAACTTGAAAGCTGTGTTAATCAAAATAAATGACAATGGAAGTACGAAATTCTTTTAGTTTCAATAATTTTGGCTACTATAAACTCCATTTAAATATAAGTATAAAAATTATCAATTTTAATTTGCTATATCTTTCATTATTTTTTTATCATAGTAGAACGTATTTTAATCTAATCTAGAAGTCATCCACTTCAGTAGAATATATACGTAAAGTACAAATTTTTGTATTCATTTATCAGAAATGAAGACTATAGAAGTATTATACTTAGGTTTTCTTATTTGTGCGGTTGTTCAGGTAGCTCATAGTGAAGAAAGTATGTATTAATAATATTTTTGTAATACTCTTCATTACACTAATTAATTTTAGGGTTGACTAGCAATGATGACATAAACAACACTATAAATGCCTTGATTAGTAGCTTACCAGATCCTCTAGATATTGCGCCTTTTCAATTCCAATTAAATAATTCTATTATTAAGTAAGTATACACTTTGCTATACCCTGTGTTGCACCGCCAACCTGGACATAGGAAATCCCATGTAAATTTTAAAAATGACGAAGTTTTCCCTCCTTTTTTATTTTCTATATTATAATATATTCCCATTTTATTTTACAGAAAATTTTATTTGAAACTATTTAAAGAACTTCTTAAAATGAAGCAAATTGTTAATTTTGAATGGTTTATACGAATATGTTCTTCAGAGTTCAGTTATGAGGTACAAAAATACTAAATTGGCGAAAATTTAAAATAATGCGGTCCTGATCAAAGAAACTTAACATTCACAAGTTATGTCACAATATGACAAATCTATTATGATTTTCTTCTACAGAAATCTGTCAAAAATATTCTCAGTTATATTCTCTATAAAAGAATTACAAAAAGTACACTGTAAACATACAAGAATCTTTTAAAAATAAAATATATTTCGTAGATAAGTAAACTGCTAACACTGCTTCAAAAGAAAATGTATTTATTAAACACTAAACAATTCACAAAATGAAGTACTTGTTAATAATTAAATGTGGATAAAACTTGCCCTACGTTTTCTTCACCCCCGTCCAATAATTCTTGGTGTTCGGAATATTTAAATGACTTAAAATTATGCTTACAGTTGAGGGTTGGAACCTTTGGTGTTACACAGCAAAATAAAACACTAAATCACCACATGTATTGTGGTGATTTAGTGTTTTATTTTAAAATTATGATTCGCCAAGCAATGGTACGTTGTTTTTTCCACTATTTCTCCAAGTATTCTGATACTTCTTGATTTTCTTATTCCACTTGAAGTCGAATATTATTTAATTCATTTTCGTTTAATATTTTTCCATGATCCTCATCAATATTAATTTTTTTTTATATTTACAGTCTTTAATGTCTGTTCGTGTTGGAATATCTCTCTTACATTTATAGTCTTCAATAACTGGTCTGGAATATTTTGAAAATGTACAAAAAATTAATCCTTTACAGCTTGTAGACATTTTTCTCCATAATACGAGTAAATTTCTTTAGTTGTGTTATTTATATTTACATACTATATTTATCACGTATAAAGTCAATATGACGTTAATAAAATGTTTTTTTTTTAATTATTAAAAGTCAATTTAGTATAAATTATTAAAGTCAATTTGACATTAAAAGATTGAAGTTGAAGGTGGCATGTTTGTTATTCTAATCAAGACCGTATTATGTTTTTGATTAATTTTAAAAGTATTTTTTATCTCTCACAATAGTCTAAGAGCTAGCAACGTTTTCGAGAAAGTATTTTAAGACGTCTGGCTCTTTGATATATCTTTTACTATGCTCTCTGGAACAGCATGCGGCCCGTCTGGCTGCCGATACCCGTTGCGTTTACTACTGCGCATCGGAAGAAGGTCCTATATTTTTTTATTAATTTAGTCCTATAAATTCTAGTATTGAATATAAATCGAACATGTCTCCATAGCGCGGTGCGTAGAGTTTCCGACCACGAACCGAAGATTCAGAGTTCAAATCCGGGTCAAGTCAAAGACTTTTTTATTTTATTTTCGTTTATATTCTAATAGTAAAGTAATAAATAATTCTGGTAATTAAAAAAATCAATAATAATTCTGGTAATTAAAAAAACCAAATATTTAATACTTTACTATCAGGATATAAACGAAAATAAAAATAAAAAAGTCTTTGACCTGACCCGGATTTGAACTCTTCGGTTCGTGTTCGGAAACTCTACGCACTGCGCTATGGAGACATGTTCGATTTATATTCAATACTAGAATTTAAAGGACTAATAAACATATAGGATCTTCTTTCAGTGCGCAGTAGGGAACGCAACATGCTGTTCTAGAGAGCATAGTAAAAGATGTATCAAAGAGCCAGACGTCTTAAAATAATTCTTTTTCCGACGTTGCTAGCTCTCGTACTATAGCTCAAGAACGAATTCGTATAAAACATTCAAAATGAACATTTAGCTTGTAAGTTCTTAAAAAGTTTAAAATACATTTTTCTCTCAAATAACATAGGGAAAACATTATTTGAAATTTTACATGGGATTCCCTATGTCCAGATTGGCGATGCAACAGACTGTACAGGGTGGTCGAAATTAGTCTGTTTTTTAACAAAGAAAACCTATTTCCTGATTAGATAGAGCAAAACCGATATAGATGGCATGGGCTCAATTTCTGAGAAACGTTTAATACTACCAACTGAGATACGGGGTCTTTTTGAATTTTTTACCATTTGGAAAAATGCCCATAACTTTTGTATTTTTTGGAATAATAAAATTCTGTGAAAACGTTCTTAAGGCACTTTTATATGAACAATTTAATATTCTATATTATTATTTATCTGCATAATTAAAGACTTTTGAAAGAGTAAATCAACATTCTATATTAGTATTACCAATTACAATTAAAACGCCAGGGTTACAACTGAACTATTAAATAGAGAATTTAGAGAAAATTGGAGGGGCCCATATCTTGGTCTGCTAGATCCTGTGATTTAACTCCTTTCGACTTTTTTATGGGGGAAAATAAAAGACCTTACTTATAATAGAAGAACCATTGGGACGAGAGAAGAATTGGAGAAGGCTACTAGGCAAGCTTTTGGACTTATTGCACCAGTTCGCCTAATAAATCTCTTGACGATTTCAATGTCATTTTTTTTTGAAAACTATACTCGTCACTCAAAAAATACTTTTTAGTTTTGTTCTTTGTTTATTGTATAGATTTCAATTGTAATTACTAATACTAATATAGAATGTTAATTTACCTTCTCAAAAGTCTTTAATTATGCAAATAAATAATAATATAGAATAATAAATTGTGATAAAAAATAATTAGGCAAGGAGGTAAACACAAAATCAAGGCCCGCTTCGATATAAAGATAAAAACACCTAATATTTCTCTGATCGTTAGAAATAGATTTCTATAACTTTATATCGTTGGAAAGGGTTAAATGCCAGCATTTTTTTAAGTTCAAAGCCAACTATAATTTCCATTTAAAAAATTATATTTTTCATTATTTCTGGCAAAAAGAGCAAGCATAGAAAAAAACCGACTACGCCACTGCATTGTGCTCAAAAAAATACATTAAGAACGTTTTTACAGAATTTTATTATTCCGCGAAATACAAAAATTATGGCCAATTTTCCAAATGGTAAAAAATTCAAAAAGACCCCGTATCTCAGTTGGCAGTGAGAATATCAACAGGCGGTTTACGCCACTAATCGTGTCTCAGAAATCGAGCCCATGACGTCTATGTCGGTTTTGCTCTATCTAGTCAGGAAATAGGGTTTCTCTGTTAAAACAGACCAATTTCGACCACCCTGTACGATGTCACAAATAAAATTCATTTCATATGGATTTTTTTTATTTATTGACATAGAAGAAATGTGACTTCAGCGATAATTTCTGCATTGGTTTATATTAAAATTGGCTTTAGAAAATTTTGCCTGCTGCTCTCGGGTATCTGTTAAATTTGACGTCTAAAGTAATAAATGGCTAAAAAATTGGTTTCCTGACCGAATTTCGAAAGTTCGTATTTCAAAAAGTTGTTTCTTTTTTAACTACGGTTGCTACTGGTTAAAAATTACATCATTTTATTTTTTATCTAGATGGCTGATAACTGGTACTTAAATAAAATTAAAATAAAAAACAACTTTTTCAAATAAAGTTTTTCGAAATTCTGCCACCAAACCAATTTTTTTAGCTATTTGTTACTTTAAATGTAAAATTCGATGGATACCCAGGAACAACATTTTCTTAAGTTTTTTTTTTGAATCTAAATCAAAGCAAAAACAATCGCTGAAGTCAATTTTCACGTAAGTAATAAATAAAAAAAAAGATTCAATATGATTCGTACTTTATCTGTGACCCTATAAGGGTCCGGCAATAGTGCGTCGGGCATCTGTAGCTCCTAGAATAAAAAATTTGAGAATTTTGTTTAAGAGCAAACCTAAAGTATGTATCAGGATGTATTTCAGGAAAATATTTTAACTTCTATAGGGTGGCTCAAAAAAGTGTGAGTGAACCTGGATGATTTTTTTTGAAATGGAACACCCTGTATATTATTGCATTTTTGGCTTCCTTTCAGATCATACAACATAACCCTAAGATATGAATAAATATATTTCGATAGTTTCAAAGATATTAAAAAATAAATAAAAAATATATATTTTTCAGGCATTGCATTCTTAAAAAAATTATGAAAAATACAAGAACTGTTCTGAAATCAAAACTATATTATATGTTTATTTTAGATGGTGTGTACTTACTTTGCTATAAATATGAAAATAGTAAATCATACAGGATGTTCAAAATTCTACGCCTAACTTTCTAAAATATAAAATAACTTTTCTTCGTTTTATTTTTAAATGGAACCCGCTGTATATAATTTTTTCAGTAGACGGAGAATTAAAAAATAACATTTTTTGTATTTAGAGTATTTCAAAATTTTTACCGGTTTCGCAGTTATTTGCGGTTTTATATTTCATATGACATTTTCCACAGTAAATTTTTATCAAAGACATACAATAATGATTTTTCTCTCGTATTTTACCATTGAAACCGCCATATTAAATATTACTGCGTGTATCTGCAAAACCGTTAAACATTTTGAAACACTCTAAATACAAAAAAAATTTTCATTTTTTAAGTCTCCATCTAATAAAAAAATAATATACAGTTCCATTTAAAAAAACAAAGAAAAAATATTTTATATTTTAGAAAGTTTGGCGTAGAATATTGAACATCCTGTATGATTTACGATTACCATATTTAAAGCAAAGTAAGAACAAACCATCTATAGTAAATACCTAATGTAGTTTTGATTTCAGAACAGTTCTTGTATTTTTCATAATTTTTAAGAGGGGCTGAAAAATATATATTTTTCATTTATTTTTTAGTATCTCTGAAACTATCGAAATATATTTATTCATATCTTAGGGTTATGTAAAGTGATCTGAAAGGAAGTCAAAAATCAATAATATACAGGATGTTCTATTTAAAAAAAATCATCAAGGCCCACTCACACTTTTTTTAGCCACCCTATATATATAGTATATCCTTGTACATACTTTAGGTTTGCACTTAAACAAAATTCTCAAGTTTTTTAATCTAGGAGCTACAGATGCTCGACACACTATTGCCGGACCCTGTATATGAGCATACATTAAAAATTTTATAAAGATTTAGTTAATGATATCACAGATGATATTTAAATGTTTTTCTTTCAGTGGATCTTTTGTAAGCTCTGGACTAAATATAAGCGGCATTAATCAAACTGTTGCTACATATATTGATGTGCATACTGCCATACTCGTAGGTAGTTATAACGTAACATTCAATCTTAAGGGAATCGACTTTGTGCTAAATTACACCACGGATGTGCTGCTAGGGAATTTGCTGCCTTTCTTTGGAAACGGTTCCATAAAGTAGGTACTTCGCCTTAAAAATTGATACATTTATATATTTTATTCTATTTCGATTTTAGGGCCAGATTAGATAACCTGACAATAAACATATATGTAGAGAATCACTTAACAAAACTAAGAAATATTAAAGTAGGATTTTCTGTAGGCGAGAAGACAAACGTAAGTAGAAAATATTTTAGGTTTCCATTTGGGTGCAATATCGGGCATAAAAATGTTTTCCATAATTCAGTTATAAACCTCAAACCCAAGAAAAAGAAACTAAACATATACTTATACTTAATAAGCATATACTTAATACTTACCAGGTATAAATGATTAATAATAACTATTATAATTTATGATATTTTACTTTAATTTATTACATTTTATAACTATTTTATTTCATTTTATTAAAAAATATATATTATAAAATATCATACCTTAATAGTATTATATTTTTTACTTTTAATAACTATTTAAGAAACAAATTTTGTAAAATTGATCCAGTTCCCGAGTTTATAATTTTACAAAGTTAAGTGTTGGTGTATTAATTTCCTGAAATATTTACTTTATTAAACCTACTAGTATTTGTTAGGATGTTTTTGATCTTAATATTAATACATTTTTAGTTTGAAATTCAAGGACTCATGAATAACGATTACTTTAGCGAATTGATTAACGAATTGCTGAGTACTTACATATCAAGAGGAATTGATTTTTTGAATACCAATAAAGATACCATAGGGAGTGTTATTAGTTCAATCATTCAAAGCATTGTCGATAGCATACAAGATAATTTAACATTGGATATCGACCATGAAAATGTAGAAGGGTAACAGAAGCTAGGTAAAATCTGTTCAACGAGCCAGGGAATATTTAGACCGACGAGATTCTAAAAATGACACATATAGATAAAGGAAATAAATTAAGATTGGAATGCTGGGCTTCTCGCCAAAACTTATAATTGTTTTGGATCGCGCAAATAATTTTCTCTTATCAAAGTCAGAATCTGCAAAAATTATACTTAATTTAAACCGCCTACGTTAGAGAAAGAAATACAGAAAAGTGTATAAAGCGTCCTTTATATACAGGGTGTCCCAGAAAAAAGTGCAAATATTTTAATTGGTAGAGACTGAAGACAAACTGAAGACATTTGAAGCAATCAAATTCGTATTAAACTTTAAAAATAAAACAGAGAAACATGAAAGGAAACAAACAAAACAAAAATGAATTGATTATTCCTCGGGCTGTTTTCGATATATTGAATTCTGAATAACGATAAACATTTTAGAAATTTCTTTTTTGTGACCTTATCAATAACCAATTCATTTGTGTTTTGTTTGTTTCCATTCATGTTTTTCTGTTTTATTTTAAAATTTAATAATAATTTGATTGCTTCGAGTGTCTTGAATTTGAAATTGTTGAAACTACGGCAACCTTGAATGACGCAAGCTCGACACGGCGCGGCGGCGGCGGCGCGGCAAAGGAGCAGTTACCAGTGATGCGCGGCTCTCTTGGCCAACGCGACGGTTGGGCTGTCGATGGAATTGTCGAAATACATAGAAAAAATAGCGAAAAAACAAAATACGTATTTAAAATTGTTGAGTGAAACCTGTATTTTCTTAGATTGAAAGTAGTTCGGAAAGTGGCGGAAAGAAACAATAATTCTCAACATTTATTCATTCAGAAATGTATTCAAAGTAATGTGTGCTTTTCAAGGTGTTTTGTAAATCAGTGGTTCAAATTGTGACGAGGCCTATATGAAAATAATGTGTTAAAAATGGGGACTGTTATTTTAGCATTTATTATAATAGCATGTACAAAATGTACAAGTAAAGCAGCACAGTGAAGTGTATTTTAGTTAAGTGTATATCGAAAAAGAGATCTGTCACAGTTACATCGATCTGTCATAAGTATCTATTTTAATGTTGGGTAAGTTTTTTAATTTAACTTTTTTAACTTTTAAACATTTAACTTTTAATTTATTTTATGTCATAATATTACAATCTTAAAAATGTAATGCATCTCTGCAAACTCCTCAGGTGTTGTGATTTTATGACTTTTAACATATACTTTCTTGTCCATATGGCAACACAATGCGTCGAATTAACTGAAATCCGGGCTTGATCCGGGTAATTGGATGTAGTTGGCGATATCTGCCGGCGGTTCTCAAAATGTTGCGATTATTTTTTTTAAATTTCAAAGTTAAATAACTCGGTTATTTTCAGTTTATTTTAAAAATGGTAAAGAGAAAATATGTTTATTTTGACCCGATCTACCACCCCTTAAAATATCTGCACTCATTTCTGGGACACCCTGTATTATATACAGGGTCGCTTTTATGTATAGAAACGGTCGATTATTAGGTAAAATATAGGAGGTACCGCAAAAAGTTAAATATAAAAGTTATAGGGTTTATAAATATCTATTAGCGGGTAATAAATTTAAGTATACAGGGTCGATCATAAAGTCGTGGCACATCAAAGTTTCATTTTTTAAATGGACCCCCTGTATATTATTGCATATTTCGATTCTTCCTTCAATTCTAAGCAAAACTCGAAATACACACAATGTACCTCATACCAACCGTTTTCGAGTTATTGACTTTTGAAAATATCACTTAAACAATTTGATTTAATTAATTTCGATATGTTCAGTTTCTTTTAACGATGCCATTTTGCCGAAAGTGAGATACTTAATAATATTTGACATTAGTTTTCAAGTTAGCATTTATAGATGTATAAAATGACAGTTTGGAAATTAAAAAAAAATCGTTTAACATTTCAATTCTTCAATTTATGTACATTGTGCATTACGGTTATTTTGTTTAAAATTGAAGGAAGAATTGAAATATGCTATAATATTCAGGGGGTTTCATTTTGAAAAAATAAAGTTTGATGTGACACAATTTTATGACCGACCCTGTATACTTAAATTTACTAGTAATTAATAGGAATTTAAAAACCCATTACAACAGTATCACAGTTTCGGCAGAATGGCATCATTAAATCAAGCCAAACACATCGAAATTAATTAAATCGAATAATTGTTTAAGTGATATTTTCAAAAGACAATAACTCGGAAACGGTTGCTTTGAGGTACATTGCGTGTATTTCGATTTTTGGTTAGAATTGAAGGAAGAATTGAAATATGTAATAATATACAGGGGGTTCTATTTAAAAAAAATGAACCTTTCATGTGCCATGACTTTATGAACGACCCTGTATACTTAAGATGGACTTCTTGATCTACTGCTATCTTTTTTCCATCCATTTAGTACTGTTAAACCTGGGGATATGAGTGTAACCCAACATTATAGTGAATATTATAGGTATTTGGTATTATGGTAATTTGTTTTTGCATCACACTGCTGTTTTTACAATTTTTTTTTTCGCGTCCGGTACAAGAACAGCGCCAAATAGCACTTACATTATCCTTATGGGCACTTTCCAATCTGAACTTGTTTCATTTATCTATGAAATGACAGAAAATACAATTTACTTGTGAATTAAAGTGTCAGAGAACAACTGTCCTTGTCATTCAACTACTCGTTGGACAGGGCTTACTTATTAATATATGTTGTGTATGAAATATAATTGGTGGTTTATTTAATTTAATAGAGTTCTTTATTTCTCACTGATGTACCTAAGCTAAAATGGGTAAGTTCAATATTATGGTTCAGCCTTAACCATTATGTAACCATTACCTTAAACCCAAATGTTCTCTCCATCCCAAAATCTCTCCACAAAATATCTAGATCTATTCCCGGCAGTCAAATATTAGTTAATCCTACAATAAGGGACAAAAAGTTCAGATAAGTATTAACCTAAAAATAGACCATTGTAGCATATTTTTTAATCACAAATATCAACAAAAAGAGACCATATTTCAGGAGCTAATCTTCTTTAACCGACTTTGCAGAAAAAGATTTTCTACATTTCCAATAATCCCAAGAAAGATATCCGGATACAAATATCCGAGAAGAGGGAAAAACTGGCTTTCCCTTGAGAAATGCTCTTTCTTATTCTTTGATTAGTTTAACCAAGGAAATAAGGCTGGCCATTTTGGGGTCGCATTTAGAAACTTGTGGTATTTTTGACAAACAGCTTTTCTTAGGGGTGAAATAGGTCATATATGACGTGTTTTACAATGGATTTTTATTAAAGAAAATTAGGGTGGAAAATTATTTTTTTTAATAATCCAGTTATTTCAGAAACAGAACTACAATATTTACATAGCTTCTTGTATTAAAATTGGTAATAATAAATAAATACAGAAAATAAATAAGTAAGTTAATGCTGGATTCCATACGTAAGCCATAACGTTAAGACGTAACATTCAGATCCCAAGTAGCATTTTTGGACACATTTTAGGTAATGATTATAATAATTGTGTCTGTTTCTTGACACAAAATAAAAGCGGTATGCTACAAATAGGAAACATTTTCGAAACCTATATATTTTATATGACGTTATTACATGTGTTTCCAATGTGGTCGCGAAACATGTGTTTCCAATGTAATGTTTCTAAACATTTTCTTCAATTTGTGTTTAAGATATTCCAGTTTTAAGCAGCCACTGTTACTAAATGTGAAAAAACAAAATATCAAACTAAAATACACACACCGGAAAAATCTAAATCACCGGATATCATTTTATTAAAGTTAAAAATAAATGTTTTGAATAAACAACCACATATTTGTAGGCCGATTCTTTCTACTTCGATTGAAACGAAGTAGTCACATTAGTTATTTCTAATTTGGGATATTTGCAGAAGTGTTTGTGCATTTTTTGTCAAATGCATAAAAAGCACCTAGTATCAATTGTTCGAATTTAACCTGTACTGGCTATGTCCTTATGATAACTGGCCAGAATTCATTCAAATAACTCTGTTTAATATTAAACGACATTATGGAGCGTAGACATCTTAACAGAGACGAAATGCTAAGGGCCATGGGTATGCTCGAAGCTGGAATGCGCCAAGTCGACGTAGCTAGAGCATTAAATACAACGCAAAGTGTAATATCGCGATTAAGTGCACGCTAAGTCAAAGTGGTGATGTTGCTGAAAGGCACACAGGGCGACATCGCATTACTACCCCTCAGCAAGATCATGACGACCGACTCTTACAGCACCAGAGCTTAGTTTAATTCTCCAGGAATCACATAATGTAACCGTTAGTCCTGACACTGTTCGCAATAGATTAAGAGAGGTCAACTTAAGAAGCAGGCGCCCCTGGAGGGCTCAACCCTTAACGAGAGGAAATCGAGAGGTACGATATTTGTGGGCTCAAGATCATGTTCAGGGGTCGAATGAACAATGGGTCAATGTTCTCTTCACGGATGACTCACGCTTTGGAATTCATCCGGATTCGAGAAGGCTTAGGGTATGCAGAGAACCGGGAAATCTTATTCGGTTGGATCATGTTCAGGAAGTGCACCCTTATCAAGGTGGAACAGTTATGGTCTGGGGAGGAGTCCAGTTAGGCCGAAAAACCGATCTCGTTTTTCTTGAAAGGTTTCTAACAGGAACCACATATCGTGATTTAATTCTAGAGCCTGTCGTGTTACCATATGCCAATGATTTTGGGAGAAACTTCATTCTCATGCATGACAATGCACGGCCTCATACAGCCAGAGTGGTAAATGTGTTTATCAATGCTCATCAATTAAACATCTTACCCTGGCCGGCACAATCTCCTGACCTCAACTCCATCGAGCACGTATGGGACGCGGTCCAAAGAAGAATTTTGAGAATAGGTATGCCTCATGAAACTCGTAGGGATCTGGTTCGGGCCGTGAATGCAGCGTGGCAGGCTGTACCTCAAGAAGAGATCGACAACCTGATCAGGAGCATGGAGAGACGATGTAGGGCTGTAATGAACAGTAGAGGAGGCCATATCCTTTATTAAGTAAAAATGGTTTTATCTTTTTTTTTAATTCACAGTTTAGAATAAAAAAAAATGTGTGTATTTTTTTGAGTTCAATAAAAATCAAGATAAATTTGAAAAATTCGGTAAATTTCGCATTTTTATTTCCAATACGTCCTGTAAACTATTTGTTTATTTTAATTTTATTATATCAGAAATGCAAATAATAAAATTACTGACGATGGCTGGATAAATTTGTAATATCCCTAGACTTTTCCGGTGTGTGTAGTATAAATGTAAAACGTCTGACGAGGGGCAAGGGACTCAAAAAACTCACAATCTTTTAGGATGTTTATTTCAAAATTTAATTTGATTTAAAATTGGGGCGACATGTTTCGGGATTCATTTAATTCCTATCCTCAGACCCAGAAAGACATGGGAATGGGAATTAAATGAATCCCGAAATATGTCGCCCCAATTTTAAATCAACTTAAATTTTGAAATAAGCATCCTAATAGATTGTGAGTGTTTTGAGTCCCCTACCCCTCGTCAGAGGTTTTACATTGATATGTACTCATACTGGATTGGAGAACGTTTAGTTAAAATAGTATATGTCAGTGTGTGGATTTCAAAATTAAAACAACCATCAACAATGTCGACATAATTTTTTTGTCTTAAACTCTTTGTTTTTAGGTTTTCTCGCACAAAAAATATCTGGCAACAGCAACTTCATCGTTTAATTTGATAATGTACTTTCATATTTTTGATGCCCCTTTTATATATCATTATTTGTTGCTAATAAAATATTTTTGCTTGAAATATAGATTTTTATTTTTATTCCTATATCATGGTTCTGATAATAAAAATATATAAATCAATGTAAGTAGAACACGTTGTTTTGAATTTAAAAGCTCAACAGCTGAGCCGATAAAAACATGTATTTTTAGTTAAAAACGCTATCACTAGCCAACATGGCGGAATCTTAATTCATTATTTTATAAAATCGACATAAAATATGATAAAAAGTGTATAAAATACCTATAAAGGTTCCTTAACTAAAATTAAATGAAATATACTGACATCTCAGGTAACAAAAACTGTTATCTACGATTTGAGCAATTGATTTATTCATGTCACAAATCAAATGCAAATAAAAACTTCGACATACTTAATCCAGATTTCTCGTTACTTAAATTACCCGAGGGCATTGTTTATTGTATGTATAAGGGAAAGAAGAAAATAAAGAATCGTGAGAAGAAAAAATCGCAAAGAAAGGTCTTACCGGTAAAACTTTTATCAAGCGGGAAGTTGCGGCAGTCTCTTGGGACTTTTTTCCGGGGATCTTTTGGAAATATAAGTAAACAGGAGGAGCAACACGATAAGAAGAACAGTCAACAGGAAAATCGAAATATTTAGTACGGTTCTAACCTCAATAATTGAATAGCGTCATTTAAATAATATCCTGAATTTTAATTTATTATATTATCTCAAATAATTGAGAGAAATGAATAGTTATTTGATAAATTGGCATCAGTCATTTTTGAGTTTTTAACTTTTTCAACCCAACCTTAATCATACCACAGTTTAGAATTAAACGGGCCTCTGTCCTGAAATTCACAATGTTATTATAGCGCGCAAAATATTTAATATAAAGCAATGACTAAAGAATACAAGGACACCCGATACCGAGCCCGATACCAAATTGTTACCATACCTCCAAACAATGCCGTGGTACATATTTTTTTTCGCGAAAAAAATGCATAAAAAGATAGAGTTATAAAATATTAAATATTAAATACTAGACCTTTAACCAGTGCGAGATGATAAAAATTTTAAAATTCAAAATTGTTCATGATTAAACATCCACAAAACAGCCGTTTACCGCATATAGGGCTCTCTCCAGTAAGTATGATTTCAGAGCTTTGCAAAATGCGGGAAAGAATGAAAGTGACTTGATATTCAAAAGTAGATAATTGTATATTTTTTTGGAATTGTACAGTATTGAGCCTTTTGCCAATTCTGAGCTTGGGAGTGGCAGATAAAGATCGTGCTCCTATTATTCTCGATAAAGATGGCCTTTCGGGAATAGCAGATATGTGCTTGCGGATTAAGCAAACGGATTCAAAAATGAATAAGGAAGGAAGAGTCAGTATTTTAAAATTTTTAAAGAAATTCTGGCAGTGAGTTCTAGTGTTCAGTCCCAATAAATATCAAACTGCTCTCTTTTGAAGTTTGAAAATACGATAAAATTTTGTCGCGCAGCAAGTACCCCAGAATGGAAGGGCATTACGAAGATGCGACTCAAAAAGGGCATAATAGACCATTCTAGAGGTTAATAAGTTAAGTTCCTTAGAAACTGATCTCAGCGCAAAACAGGCAGCGCTTAGTTTCTTTGATAAAGCTTCGATGTGTCGACATGTTGTCGACAATAAGTCCTAAGAATTTCACCGAGTCCACGACGTCAATAGTGGTGTTATTAGGTACAAAAGGTTCTATAGTACTTTTATATGACAAAGCTTTAGTTTTTGAAAGGTTGAGGCATAGGAGATTAGAATCGCACCAAGATTTAATGTTGCGTAAGTCACTGGATACAGTATTATATAGTGTCGTTACATCTGGGCCGCTCCAAGTGAAACTAGTAGGTACCTATCGTCCACAAAGGCAGATTTTACCGCTAATGTCTAGAATTGCAATGTCGTTGATAAACACCAGAAACAAAATAGGGCCACCGTACTGAACCCTGAGGGACATCACATTCTATAGGCTTACAAGAAGACATAGACGTGTCAATCTTCACAAGCTGTCTTCTGTTGCCAAGATATGACTTAAGCCATTCGAGCGGCACTCCTCTGAATCCATAGTATTGCAATTGATAACGGTCAGTGATCACACAATAGATCTGTAAGGTGACGGTAATCACCCCCCTCCTAAATATTCTACAACGGTCAGTGATAAATTTGATCGAAACGTCGTGTAAGTTGAAATAAATAAAGGTAATGGAAGTCCGAAATACCTTTGTTATGAATACTGAATGATTGTCTGCCGTAATGAAAGAAATAAATTTAAAAAAGTTAAACATCTATTTTTAAATAAAGATTTTATTATTACTAATGAAACCAAAATTAATATTTTTAATTCTTGTAACTCTTCTTTGTTAAATATAACTATGTTATAAAAATGGGTTTGTATAATACATAAAATTACTTTTGAGAATAATTTATTTAGTCGAAGCCGTTTGGATCCGACCTGACAAAAGCCATTTGCTAGATTAATATTTTCGGAATTTTAACATTCATCGGCGGAACATCGAAACGATCGCTCTTGTTCGGAAAAGTAATTTACTGGAGTAAAATTCTCTTCTGTTTTTATTTTCGTCAGGTAAGCCGATGGACGAATAACTTTGTCGCCTGTATCGATCAGAAACTTCAGTCTGATTTACTAAAGACAATAATATTTTAGGCCTGGGTTCAGAAAGATGAGTAAAGTTCTTTGTTGTAGGGACCTTCAACTGCCTCTGAGAATACAGTTATTAAAGCGTTATGTGTTTTCGACCTTGCTTTATGGAATGGAGTCTTGGACGTTGAATAAGAGCGAGATGAAGAAAATAGAAGCCTTCGAAATGTGGTGTTAGAGGAGGATTTTAAGAATATCATGGTTGGACAAAATTAGTAATATCAGAGTGTTGGAGATGCTAAATATGAGTACCGTGGTTATAAAAAGCATAGAGAAC